AAAAAAAAAAAAAAAAAAAAAGAAGAAGAAGAAATAGCAAATGCAAAACTAACAGTTTAGGGATCACCGCAGATGTCCCATCAGTGTCAATTTCCCAGGAAGCTATGTTGGGAGCTCTCTAGCCCTACAGGCCTGGGCTGTCCCTGCAGGTGCCTGGACAGTCCTATGTCAAGCACGGATAACGTCCAGGAACCCCAGGCTCCTTCCTGTACTGCCCAGGTTCAGAAGTGGCTATGTCTCTCAGTTTGGCATTTAGGGATTTACGGACCACAGGAGGATATACAGTTGGATGGGAAATTGGATTACTCAAAGAATTTGTTAAGCAGCTTCAGGGATAATCCTCTTTCCAATAAATTATGACACCAGGAGTTCACAGGGGAGGGATTTGAATGGACTGATCCGTGTCTCAAGCTAAGCCATTAGTGCTGTCCAAAAGCTCAGAGATGAGACAGCAGCCTCAGGATGCGGAGCAGTTCTGCTTAGCAGGTCCGTGCTACTCCACACTTTATAGTATTAAGTCAAGAGAACTGCTGTTGTCCCCTTTCACAGAGGCTTGAAAAAGACAAGCGACTCACCCAGAGCCACACTTCTAGTAAGCAGGAGACCTGGGATTTAAACCAAAATTTGCGTGGTACTAGCTTTCTCACTCCTAACCACTAGGACCTTCAGCCCCTTTTCTGAGAGCACAAGCTCACCTGTGTGGGGGTGGACACCTCGGCTGCAGGAGTACTTCTGGGTTCTGCGGATGGAGGGAAGGTTGTTATTAGTGACTCACTGCCCCTGGAGCCCTATATAACGGGCTTCAGAAGCAGAGAAAACTCATCACAATGTTATTTAAAAGAAGATAATTCTGGAAATAACTAAACATCCAACAATAAAGGCCTAGTTATACATAAATTATGACAGAGCTGTGTAATACAAAAGCCTTTAAAAATACAGGTAGTTTGGAAAACCTTTGAAGACATGATATAACATTGTATGAAAAGCGCAAGATAAGATGGCTCAGCGCCCGTAGCTCAGTAAGGCGCCGGCCGCATACACTGAAACTGGCTGGTTCAAGCCTGTTCTGGGTCTGCTAAAATACAATGACAACTGCAACAATAACAACAACAAAAATAGCCAGGTGTTGCGGCAGGTGCCTGAAGTCCCAGCTACTTGAGGTTGCTGTGAGCTGTGATACCATAGCACTCTACTGAGGGCAATATAGCAAGACTCTGTCTCCAAAAAAAAAAAAA